CACATATTTGCTATGTCTACAAATTAAAATGAATTTACTTGCACAATTTCCAATGATGAATGAATGCTAAGTTTGTTCAAGATTAAATTCACACACACAAGCTGACATATCACACTGTTTTTAACATCATCTGTGGAAATTAAGTACCTTCTAAAAGTCAAGACACAAATGCCCAATTTTAAATCCAGTATTAAGCTTTTGAACTCAAATTGTGATTTTTAAAAAAAAATGGTATTTGGGTTTTATAAAATTTCATTTCAGTTCCCGTTTTGACTATTAACAACTCCTTAAGTTAGCACAAAGAACAAATAGACCTCCTCATTCTTACCTTTGATACTTGTCTGCTTTCTTTTCAAACATCTGGGGGAATCAGCCTTACAAGCTTCAAGGCCCACCTGCCCTGGTCTTTCTGTCTTTGTGTGCCTCTTGAAGAGTGCTGGAGGACTCCGGCTCTTTTCCCCTGTACAGCTGTTTTCCTTTGTGTGTTCCAAGAGATCTGGAGATGGCAGCATATTTAGATGAGAGACCTTTTCCCATTTGTAATTCCCTTCCAGTGGGGTTTCTGTTTCAAAGTCAAAGTTCCACTTTTGCTGGGCTTCTTCCAGCTGGACCTTCATCAAGGACTGAAAGTCCTTCTGGAGCTGTTCATGATCAACCGGTCCAAAGAGATTTCTGCAGAGTTTCCTGCTGCAGGAAGGTTGAAGGATTTTACTCTCAGAAAGAGGCATGTTTCCTATTGGGAGAAAGATCAGGAGTATTTAAAAAAGGAGAGGTTACTTTTTGCCTCCAAGCCAGTAACAATAAAAAAATAATACAGTAACTAAATCTCCTTGAAAAACCTATCAAGGTAACATTAAACATTCTGCTTCAAATTACTGGAATATGACAAAAATAGCATGATTTAATGTAATTAATTAAAGAACTTCAGTATGTTTCAAAAGAGAGATAATGTATTGAGGCATCATTATATCTAGTGACGCCAGCTAAGTCTGACAGAACTGAAATTAAAATGTCATTAGAAACCTTAGTTAGAAAGCAAGTGTGGATGAGTGGGACCCTTTCATATTCTGGATACAAGCCATATCTCTAAAAAAAAAACCACATAGAATTGTACTTATGAAATGCTCAGGACATATTTTACCAAGAGTTCACCCTGAGAAAGAAGCATATCAGGGAATATTTGAAGAATTAAAGTTTCTTTGGAGTAACTAGCTTCCAAGTAGATGCTCTTTGCCCTATACATGTCAGTATTGTTCTTCCTAATGTTTAAACAGTTTTGAACACAGAAAAGAGTTGCCCAATAGTTATAAGTAATGAAATGCTTCTAATCCATGGAGAACTAAATGATTTACACAACCCAAATGTTAACTTTGTTGTCTCATGTAATCTTTTCCTTACTGGAACATTACCACTAGGCACCAGAAAAGGCAGGTACGATGCAAAAAAAAAAAAAAATCCTACATTTAAGATACAGCATTTTGCACTGTGCAGATATTGTATATGTTAAGATGGCCTATGAAAGTGGAAATTTCCATTGTCAAATATCTACTGTTTATACATCACCATTCAGATAGGCCTAATGTTTTATTTCAGAATTTCTGCTTATTTTCTGCATTTATTCACTCCAAAATATACTTCATACAGGACTCAAATATTTCACCTACTTATATTCTGAAGTACTGTTAAAATAGAGATTAGAACAACATCAAACTCTGTGTGTATGTGTATGTGTGTGTGTACAGACACATATACATACATACATATGTGTATATTAGCAATAGTACCTAGACTTATATACTGCTTCACAGTGTTTTACAAATGTCACCATATTGCCCACAACAAGATGGGCACTCATTTTACCAACCTCGGAAGGATAGAAAACTGAGTTAACCTTGAGCCGGTCAGGATCGAACTGCCGAACTACTGTGCAGCGGTCAATCAGCAGAAGTAGCCTGCAGTGCTGCATTCTAACCACTACGTGACAACGGCTCTAATGGAGTTTGCATTAACTACTTCAATGTATTTGATATCTTTAACCAATAAAGAGCTACACTTTGGTGTCTATTCATTACCTCTCCTTCATTACAAAGGATCATCACAAGGCAAGTAGCTAAGGCTTATATTCTGTATCCATCCAATGAGGCCATCCTGCATTAATGCCATTTTTCAGTTATGAATCCCATTAATGAAGAGCAGACTACTAGAGAGCCTCCAAGCATAATTTCTGACTAGTGTATAAACTAAAGACCCATTTCATTCTTTGGCAAGTCACCTTTATTTGAATATATATGCATGTTTCCATGCAGAAGCTCTGGATCAAAAACACAATTGAATTGCAATACCCATGTCTCTGTTTTATTTGGTCGATTCTTTCCCAAACAGTTTTGACATCTGCATTGCCCAGCATACTGATATTGCTAAAGAAGAGGCAAAGAGATTAAAAATAGTAGCAGCCTTCACATGCCCATTACACGCAGCTATGCCAGATGACATCAGACATCAGAGCATTAGTCACATCAGAACAAGTCCAGGCAAGTTCGTAACTGCCAAGGACAGGCCACAGCTTCATGAGTTTTTAATTCACCACTTCAAGTCACCAAAACAGGATGCTTATCAGATATTTGCAGTTCTCAGCTATTTACTCCACAAATATTAATCCTGGATTGCGTTTCTTTATTCTTGTTCTTTCATTGGGAACCAGTTTCCAATGAAATGGCAGGCATGTAGGACTGTGGAATTCTGAAAGTTGAAGTCCATACATTTTAAAATTGTTGAAGTTGAAAAACATTGGCCTAGCATGCAAACAGACAACAAGCTAGTGGACTTTTGACATGCTTCAAAAGGAGTGAAGGAACAACCAACTGTAACAACATCTGTCTGACAACAGTGCTTGCATCTCAATTGAGTTAAGGCAATCCACATAGCACCAAATGGATCCCAGATCACAAATACTTGTAGATCGATGTTTGGAGGGAGGTATCATTAAAATATACCATATTGTATACTGTATGCTTTCAATATATGACCAAAACAACTCTGGGCAAGATTTTAGATGGCTTCTCCTAACGCTCCAAAACCCCTAATCACTAGAATTCTGCACCAAAAAGAGACCAAGCTAGCTCTATTTTTTTATGACCTTCTACCAGCAGGCAAAGTTTCTCAAGACTACACATTTCTGGTTTCCAAACCAACTTTAGTGAAATATATTTTAAGTGTTCATTTCTCAAAATATATCGTTTTAAGTGTTATTCAGAACTTTGTTGCCTTCCACTTGACCAAATATGACAAAATATAAATTTAATAAAGCAGTTGAATACACACATATACTGGTTCAGTTATCAATGAATTTAAGCAATAAGTTTTTAAGTATTTTTTTATGTCATCCACATTCCCCCAAAATGTACAATTAATTTTAAAAAGTAGTCTTGGTTAATTCTAAGTAACTGAGTTCCATTGTGGACACTTGTATACTAATACACTTTGTGGACACTTGTATACTAATAGGTGCTCTGTAGTGCATTAGTGCATCTGACTTGAGAAAAGAGACTTATTTGTGGCTTCATATCCCCAACCACAATGGGTTATAGCGTAGCGTGTTCCTTGAACTTATCTATTTACTGATTCAGTAAGCATAACTATGTTATGCAATTGTTTTGGGGATTTGTTCTCACATCAAAATTCACTATGAATTTTCACAAGTGGTTCCACTACAATGACTTGGTTCCCAACACAGAATAGAATAGAACACCTCAAGTTACTAACCGTGGTTACAAACCATAATGGTGGAATCCTCCTAAATGCTAAAGCACAAAGAAGGAAACCGCATTACAACTTACACCATGAATCCAGCCTTGCTGCCTGTCACACAACTGCCAAAACTAATGTTTTAGTTTGGCTAGTAGTCCAGCTTCTCAGTACCTATCAAAACCAATTGCTCTGGGATCGTTACCACTAACTTCCCCATAACTTCCCCATCGTTTTCCAGAAATGTTGGTCTACAACAGGGATCCCCAAACTTAGCAACTTTAAGACTTGTGGACTTCAAGTTGCCAAGTTTGAAGACCTCTGGTCTACAACAACTTCCATACTCCCCTTAACTTCGGCTGCTGTGAGTTGTCATAAAATTATTTGCCACCTCTTGTTATCAGGAGACGGATCTCCGTAGATAACAACGCTTGCTGATGGAAGGAAGTAGACGTAGCCATCTGAAATCGCAGCACAAATTTAGCCTCCGCTTACCCTGCGAACTTGAATTTACCGTAGTTGCTCTCTGCCAGCGCCAGCCAATCAAAATTTAGGTCACCATTGTTGAAACAGTAGCTATCCTCCCTCTCTCGCCGCCAGCCCCCCTCCCCCCCGCCCTTCCAGCAGTTCAGCGACCCGTCTCGCGGCTGCAAAAAAAAAGTTTGTGTCGCGCGATTGCCCGCTTTATTTCAACGCTGGAAACCGCTCTGTCTCTCTCTCTCTTCTCCCACTCGACCCCCGGCGCAAAGCCAAACAGGGGGACTTCCTTATCACCCCGGGAGGAGCCGAGGAGATATGCGAGACGCTCACGAAGCTCGCCCGGGCGGGAGGGGGTGGTAGTGTTGGGTTGGGTTACGTCATCTGGTACCACAGCAGCCGCGTCACGTGCCGGGTTGGAAGTTGCGAAATCGCACTTGCCACACAGGCCGACAGGATTCGCTGCCAGGAAATGGGAAACGTGCGCCGAATTTACTACGGCTCCGCCTCTTTTTGTTTTCCTTCCCACACAATATTGGCCCTCATTCGCTTTAGGGGCTTTAGGGTTGGAGCTCTTTGGAGGTGCGTTCTTGACTTCACCCTACCCAGCCGCCTTTGTGCAAAGGAATGAGAAAACTCCAGGCTCAACGCACGCCCGCCAAGTGGCATCTTTGGGATTTAGCCTCCATAAAAAGCCTAGGTGCTTCTTCCTTAAACCAGCTTTACGGTCTCTACCCCACTCCCTATCCATCTCTCTCTCCCTCCCCCTTGTTAATAGGGGAGGGGGGGAAGGATGGACGAGAATTCCACAGCTGCTGAAAGTTCATAACTCGGACCAGTAAACAAAACCAGCCTCCGTCTAGCCGCTTTCCTGCCACCGCCTCCAGCGCGTGCCCGAGTTTGCGCGCCACTCTTTAAAAAAAGGGGGGCGGGGGGGTGGGGCAACAGCATAGCCGGGCTGAATTATCTAAACAGAGCAAGAACAAAAATAAAACTCCGTTTGGGAACAAGGAGTTCCCAACCGAGACAAGAACATCGGCGGGGCGGGGCTGGGCGGGGAATCGGAAGAACTCGTGCGTCTAATGGCCCAGCCCTCCCAGTGACACGGGCTATTTCTGCTCACAGAAGCCGAGGGAGACCTTAGGGGAAAGACGCCTCTTTCGCCAGGAAGGTGGCATACCTTCCCTAATCAAAACGAAGGCGTTTCCAAACGTCCCCAAACTGGCAGGGCTGGGCCTACTCTCTTACATCAGCCCCAGAGAGTGACTGTCACTGAATCACTCCCGACGGCCGCCGCCTGACTTCCCCACCCTCTCACAAGCGGCAGCCGCAGCCGCCTCCTCCACGCCAGGGCATGCCCTGACAGAATCCTTTCCTAGGCAAAAAGTATAGCGCAGCTGCTGACCCAAGAGCACCCCTTTTGGTGAGGCTGGAAAAGGCTCCTATAGCTCCTCTTACAGGGACTCGGCTCTGGCCGTGGGCATCACCACTACCCTATTAGACACGCACGCACCCGGTTCTAGAAAGAGCGCACAAATCAGTTTCGCCTCCGGGAAAGAGAAGTCCTCCTGACAGAAGTCTTCTTGTCCTGCTTTCTTTTCTTTTTCGATTTTATCTCCCCCCCCTCCCCAAGAATGTCTCTCCGATTATCAGCCCAAACTTGCTACTTCTCCTTTTGCTGCGACGTTTAATTTTGGTGTTTAAAAGAGAGCGAGCGAGAGAGAACGAATAAATTGTACTCAAAGGCAGGAACATCGCAACCCGTCTCTGTCCTCCGTACCGCGGTCTCAAAAACTAGATTTTCGGGAATAGGCGGGCAAATCGACCGCAATTCAAAGTTCGCCCATCGAAGAGATTTGAAGAACTTGGGGAAAGAAGCGTCCCAGCTGACGCTCTCACTTCCAAAAACGAGTCTAAATCTCATTTGGCGAGTTATCTTCCTCCTGGGAGCAAGGAGGGAAAGCGGGAAAAACAACCCCACCATCACCTAATGGGCAGCGAGAGGAGGTGGGAAGAACAGGTGGAAGGACGAGGACGTCTCTAGGGGAATGCAGAATCTGCTAAAACCGGGATCCAAAGGGCGGGGAAGGCAGAGAATCACTAGGGCTACTCGGTTCAGGTTCCATCGGTCCGCTGATCTTTCCTTTTCCTCGCCAGACAACCTTCCATTTCATAGTCACAAACTGTATACGGGGAATTAGTTAATTAGCCCATCGTAAGAGGCCGTGATGCTCCATCCAGAGCCTCTTAATCCAGAAAAGGAGGGAATAGCAAATTCCAAAAGAAAGGAACATAATCCCAGCCCCGAAGCACACAAACACACACACACACAAACCCAAAAAACACAACCTGACACTACCTGCGCGCGTCTGGAATTGCCAAAACAGCTCTCCCAGTCCAGGTAAGGAGATAAATAGAACTCTGATATTCCTATAAAACGGGACCATATATTCATAAACGCATCCGAACAACACGCCCATACAGCACTGATGCCATCATAGTCCAGCACCCTCCCTACAAACAGACGGGAGAGGGGGGAGGTGTAGGTTAGATGCAACGCTCACCTCTCTCAGCCGCACAAGGAAAAGCGCCCTCTGGTCCGCAATTCTGAGCTCCGCCGCTCCTGCAAGACTACATAAAGCCTGCAGAAGCCCGCCTCGCGAAGAGGCGGGGTTTTGCTGCTTCTCTCCCTCCTAGGAATTTCCGAAGGTCCGCCTTGCTAGTGAGGCAGCTTGCTTCGGATCGTTCGTGCTCTCACGCACTGACCCTGGGAAGGAATCGGACGCGTCCACACCGAGACGTGAGAGGTAGCTTAATTAACTTGCCCGGGGTTAATTTAAGAGTCTCTCTCTCTCTCTCAAAAAAAGTACAGCCTCGACTAAATTTAAATTCAAGCAGCCTAAAACCTTTTTAGGTTTTCTGTTCTGTATTAACAATATTCACAGCTGATTCAAACAGCCTGAGAGAGGAAATTATGACCATTTTTTTTCATGGATGAATAAATAGAATAGCCTTTCACAGTCCAGTGGCTTCCTCTTCTACTGGACTGTGGTACAATTCCCAGTGAGTATCACCCAGAAGTGCAGTTTAATTCAGACTATCTTTGTGTGTAAGAACAGATAGAAATACAAGCAGACTGATTATTATTACCTATATGCACGGCAGGGAAGACAGTAAACAGTAACAGAGTGGGAAGGGACCTTGGAGTCATCTAGTCTAGTGATGGCGAACCTATGGCACGCGTGCCACAGGCAGCACATGGAGCCATTTCTGAGGGCACATGAGGCATTGCCCTGTCAGCTCCAGTGCACATGGGCATGCTGACCAGCTGGTTTTCGGCTGTTTTTCGCCCTCCAGAAGCTTAAGGGAAGCCTCCTGAAGCCTCTGTAGGGAGAAAAACGGCCCAACGGGCAACCCGGAAGCCCATTCCCAAACTTCCGGTTTGCGCATTGGGCTGTTTTTCACCCCCACCCCCCCACCCCCGTAGGGAGAAAAAAGGCCCAACGGCAACCCGGAAGTCGGAAAATGGGCCCTTTCTGGGCCTCATGGGTGGGGAAGGCCATTTTTGCCTTCCCCAAGCTCCTAGAAAGCCTCTGGAGCCTGGGGAGGGCCAAAAACGGACCTACAGGGCCCACCAGAAGTCAGAGAATGGGCCATTTCCTCCGGAGGACCATCACTGATCTAGTCTAATCCCTTGCTCACTAGGGAGACCTATACTAGGGAGTCAAACCACTGACCTTTCTGATCGATAAGCTCAGTGTCTTAGCCACTGAGCCACCTAACCAAGCCTGACAAATTTCTGCTAGATATAATACCATATTCAGAAAAGTAATCCCCATTCAAAAACTTACCCTCCTCAAAATGCCGGGCACAACAGACAGTGAGGATAGCTTAGTCTTGAAGGCAGTGCTGGATTTAGGAATAAACCAAAGAAGCTGCATTTTACGGCTTCACAATCCACAGCGCCTCACAAAATTTCAGAACATCAGTTTGTTGATTTTGCAAACAAATTTGTTATTCATTATTAATAAAGGTGATGCTAATTGTCAGCATTTTGTATATATATATATATTAATGTGTCAAAATTGTTTAAAATGTATTTAATATTTAAGTACTAAAATTGTATTTATGTATGTATTTAAGCTGGCTAGAACATTCTGGAAGTTGGAAGTCCAGAAGTTTTAAAGTTGTGAAGATTGGACATCCCTGCGCTAGTATCTCTCCCTTCCCTCTAATACGGAAATAAAGACAAATTTGTGGCCTTCTTCCGGTCATCTGAAGTCAACAGCCTGATGTCTTTTTATAGTTTCTGCAAGTATATTTAATAAACTATTATGGTTTCCAATATACTCCTCTGAACTGATTGTTGAGTCTGTGCACTGAAAAATATATTACCTACATTCACAATCTGTATCAGGAAAATCAAAATTACCTGAACCTGTTTTTTTATCCATTCTTTTTTTTCCGTCTCTTTAAGCTCAGATCCTAGGAAGTGGTGTTGTCTGATAAGGCCTTGGTATGTGAATAGAGCCATTTAAAGCAAAATATGGAGCCTAAAATATTTACATTTGTTTAAATTAAAATAATATTTTGATAAAATAATCACAAAATTAGGATCCTTATTCTCATATTTTATTTGCCTGAGGATTAACTTCAGCTCTTTACTGTACTTGTAAATGCAGACCTCGGTGTGTACATGTGTCACCTCTTCTGCGGGAGCTACATTGTTTGCCAATTTTCTTCCAGATGCAATTTAAGGTGCTGGTTGTCACCTTTGAAGCCCTTCATGGTTTGGGACCCAACCCACTAGAGTGAGGAGGCAAGGAATATTGTGGGTCCCATTCCCTATGGAGACACATATGGTGGGACCCAGAAAAAGGCCTTTTCTGTAGTGCTCCCTCCCTCTGGAGCATCATTCCCCTGGAAATTAGACCCTGACACACTCTTTCCTGAAACCTCTGAAGACATGGTTCTGCCAGTGGACCTGGGGAAGCCAGAGCGGGAAGAGACCATTAAATGGCTGGAATGGGTGTGTGTAGTCACCGGGATAGTGGGCTGAAAGGTCATTTTATTTTTATTTATTATTATTATTTCTTTTATAATGTGTTTTTATTTCCTGTGAGTCACCTGTGAGCTAGCCATATACATTTTACAAATAAATTCATAAAATGAATAGCAATAGCACTTAGACTTGTATATCACTTCATAGTGGTTTATATCCCTCTCTAAGCAGTTTATAGAGTCTGCATATTGCCCCTAACAATCTGGCTCCTCATTTTACTTCATTTTTTTATATTGGAAGGATGGAAGG